TTGAGAATGAATTAAGTGTGATTTTTGTGAATTTTGACTAAGTTTTGTGTAAAAATGCTAATAAATGGTAACTTTTTTGTTAGATTAATTCAGTATATTTATTCTTAATTAAGGAATATTATCTATCTCTCATTATCTCAAAATGATTCACAATGTATCTGCCCTACCAACATCAGCATTACAAAACCTGTATGGTTGACTACAAAGTTTTTTGCTTTATCAAGGATAATTATTCATGATATTTCCCCATTACGTTACCTCTTCTGAACGTTAGTATGTACATGTGACTGGCAAGAGCAATAAAAATGTAAATATTTTTGAGATTGAATTCTGTTTTAAAAGCTAAAAAAGGGCTGCTAAAAAACTGGTGAATGTAATGTTTTGAAAAATTAATTCAGTATATTTTATTCTAATTAAGGAATATTATCTTTGTCCTAATTAAATTATTTATAATTCATGTGCTCCATAGACATCAACATCTGCCCATAAATTGGTGTTTCTCTAGCATAATGGGGGACAAACATGTTCTTGATTCAGAAATCAAATTCAAAATGAAAGGATGCACTTTTTCTAGTTTGTGATAATGGCATCATAGGAAATGTGTATTTTATTAGTTTTTCCTCCTTCTGGCGTTTAGAAATTATATCCATTCTTCTTCCTTATTACTTTACTGAATAACACAAATAGCCATCGCTGTTTTTGAGAATGAATTAAGTGTGATTTTTGTGAATTTTGACTAGGTTTTGTGTAAAAATGCTAATAAATGGTAACTTTTTTGTTAGATTAATTCAGTATATTTATTCTTAATTAAGGAATATTATCTATCTCTCATTATCTCAAAATGATTCACAATGTATCTGCCCTACCAACATCAGCATTACAAAACCTGTATGGTTGACTACAAAGTTTTTTGCTTTATCAAGGATAATTATTCATGATATTTCCCCATTACGTTACCTCTTCTGAACGTTAGTATGTACATGTGACTGGCAAGAGCAATAAAAATGTAAATATTTTTGAGATTGAATTCTGTTTTAAAAGCTAAAAAAGGGCTGCTAAAAAACTGGTGAATGTAATGTTTTGAAAAATTAATTCAGTATATTTTATTCTAATTAAGGAATATTATCTTTGTCCTAATTAAATTATTTATAATTCATGTGCTCCATAGACATCAACATCTGCCCATATTTGTCGAACACTGATCTACATAATAAGTCAAGCTCTTTTATTTAAAAAACATTAAGGAGAATTCATCAAGGATGATTATGATATTACCCCGGTATCTCTTTCTGAGCTTACACATTTGAAATAGTAACATAAGGTCAAGAAGTAATTTTGCCATCAAAGGTTCTGTTTCTCATTTCTCCTGAATACTAACTAGGTTAAAACACTTCTTTTACACATGTGCCAATACACCCACCCATATTACATAACCCCTAATGAACAGTCTTGACCCAAGTGCTGCAGGATGCAAAAAGGGATGTGTGTGTTTTCTGTAGCGTTTGTATTCTAGATAGTTGCTCTGCTAAGATTTTAACCAACTTGACAAGTCAACAAGAATTTAGTTCACTCTGTTGTGATCTTTTTCAGTCTAGAGATGTTATGTGTTGTGAATAGTCCTGTCTCATGCAGATGGTTGACTGTATAGCAAGCCTGTTGCCATGTTCATTTGCTTAATGAGTTACCCGCTGTTGCGAGAAGGATAATTGAGAAGGCATCATGGTAATTTGCAACATAACCAAGCTAATAATTTATTATTGATTGCCTCATCCAATGGTGAAACTGTAAATTAGACCCTGGTGCATCTCAGTGGATTGCATGAATTCACACTTGTTTTTTAAACACTGCAATAATATTATGTGCCACAAGATTAACTTTGGTCCTGCATGAAAGATGGTGATGTGCTGTCGGTTTCTCTCTGGCTATAAACTCCATATATCATGTCTACAGAGAAATATCATTAATGTTGGTGGTGCACAACTTTTAACTGCATGTGTCCACAGCATGTAATACCGGTGTGCTGATGTCCCTGAAATGGCTTCTTAACTAGTTTACCACAAAGTTTTAGTAGGTCAAACCAAGGGGTCAACGTTTTGCTGGTTAGTCCAGTTAGCCCCTGCTGGTAGATGCTGTAACTACAAGATGCTGGTTTTATAAAGCATCTTTCAGCCATTCAATAGTTACTGTGAGGGTAAGAATAATAATTATAATAATATTTTTTTTTTTTTATTCTTTAATTTTTTTTTAAATTTTTATTCTATTTGTTTTTTTGTTTTTTTTGCTTTGTTTTGTTTTGTTCGGTGTGTAGACAGTATGCAAATGATTTACTGTGGCGCCCCTTTATAGCAGCCAAAACTGACAATAGGATTATATTGTATTGTATTGTATTATATTATATTATATTATATTATATTATGTTATGTTATGTTATGTTATG